TTTAATGACGGGCGGTGGGCGGGGTGGGATGCGGGCGCCTGGTCGGCGGAGATCCCGGGGCCGCCGAGCGGGCCGGGCCGGTGTCAGCGCGCACTTATTGACGGCTGGTATTTGGGGAGTAATTGAGCGCGGCGGCCGGCCCGGGGCGAGAGTGGGCCTCCACGAGCAATTAAATGTGATTAGGCCGAGACCTTCGAGATCCAGCTGGGTGATTGATAACCCGGCCGCATTCCTGCCGGGCCCGCGACATCAAACGGGCTGCCGGCGGCGGGCGGGGCAGAGGGGCCGCGCGCGGGGACTCGGCCCTTCCCCGCCGGGCGCTGCCCCTCTCACCCGTGACGCCCACGGCTCCGGGGAGAAGCCGAGGGACCTGCCCTCTTCTGCTCAGGGGTCTCTCCCTGGCTCGCCTGCCAGGAGCAGCAGGGGAGGTCAGGGCGCCCAGGGGACGAAGGGACGTGGTGAGGAGAGCCCCCTGTGCCAGGGCGCAGCGTCCGGAGGAGCGCGGCGCGCTGGGCTCCCGGAATCCGGCACGAAATCGCTGGAACCGGGGAAGAATGGAAACAGAGAACGGGGGGAGGGGGGCTGGCGGCGGCAAAGAAGGTGACAGTGAAACGAGAATAAATAGAAAACCGAACAATATTAAGAGACACAAAGGAGGAGCAAAGTGACGGGGAAAGAGGAGAAAAGAGCGTCAAAAGGAAATGAAGGGGAAGATGGCAAAGAATTGTGGAGACAGCAAGAAGATGAAAAAGGAGAAGTTCTAAAAGTATAACGTGGGGTAGACATGGACCAGAATGAAAGGAGAAAACAGGGAATAAAGGGAAAAGCAAAAAAGGTGAATAAATAGGGTGGGCGTCCAGGTGGTCGGGCTGCCGATGAAAACGGGAAAGAAGAGACGAACGGGTCGGGACACGGAGGAGGAAGGCGAAGAGGGGGCAGCAGCCGGCCTAGACCCCTGGGTCACTTTTTCCGCCCTCCCGCCAGTCCCGGCCTCAGCCTCAGTCACTCTCCGTGCCCAGAGCCTGGTGCTCCGGAGAGCTGGTATTTGCCCCCCACGGCCTGACTCTAGCCCAGCCCCAGCCCCCGGCCAGCACTTTCCGCTCAAGGCTGCGAGACGGGCACCCTCCCCAAGCCCAGGGTGAGCGGGAGGGAGGGCGCCCTGCACCCCGAGCCTGGGCACCTCCCTCCCCACGCTGTAAATCACAAGTCGGTGGTACGAGGGGTTCCCGGGGGCCTTCGCCTGGGGTCCCCCGGAGCCTCCGGAGCCAGGGAACAGTTTCTGACTGTGCGGGGTCCACAGACAGGCTCACAACAGCATGAAAGAAATCCAAGGGAGCACGTCGGCAGGAGCCGGGCTTCTGAAACCCGCTTCCGCCCCCATAGGCTTCAATATTAAAAACCCCCCAGGAGCCTCAGACACTGTATTAATTAGTGCAACCACCCATGAAAAGTTGGGTTTGGAACGGCATTCTTCGCCCTGTGTGAAAAACCAAGTCTAATAAACAATTGTTAACTTGGCCTGTTGCCGCCGGTAAATTACACAGCATTAAAAAAATAATGCTTTTCATATTAGGCACTAATTAAAGGTTGGGACAGCTTTAAAACAAGAGAGGGAGGGGGGGAAATCAAAGAAAATATAAAAATGTTCTTTCAAGAGTTATGGGAGGTTAATAAAGTATGTCTGTTAGACTTGAGTCTACTTTGCCCCTAGCTACAGCCAAGCTGGAGCCGCCACAATTGGGTCTCAATAAGATAATGATATTCCTTTCTCTGCTATTAAAAGCCTCCCAGTGCAAACTTAAAATGATTTATTTAATTTAGGAAATTATGAGGTGTAACTTCAAAGCCGGAGCCGTTAGTAATGGAAAATACCAGGTTGTTTAAAATTATAATAATAATTGTTTGGGACATCAAAGTGTTTTCATCAACAAATACAGAGGGGTCCGGAGGAGGCTGGAAGGAGTCAGAAGGGGTGGAGAGGGTTTGGATTTGATTATTATGAACCTTATCAGGACCGGGTTCAGGATTCCCGCAGCCCGGTCCTCCGTTCTGCTTTGAAGCAGGGCTATTTTGGAGAGCAATTTTCCTGCTTTTTATTTAGCTCCTAGCAGGGAGGAGGTGAGAGGGGTTTGGGGGGCGGGAGAAGGGGAGAAGGGTCCAGGAGCTGACAGCCCAGTTTCCCTCACTGCTCTCCGGCCGGCTTCATTAGAGACGCCCGCAGCATCACCAATCTGGAAAAAATTGTTTTACTGAACATTGAAGGGAAAACTGGCCTAATCAACTTCACCGACTGGGGCCCCTGTGATTTCAAGGAGGGTGTGTGTGTGTGTGTGTGTGTGGTGGGTTCTTTTATACATGAGGTTTATGTTTATTCCAAACCCAGCAGTGGAAGGGGAGTGGGGGTGGGGGAGTGGCCTCTCCAGCCCGTGGCAAATGAGCGGCTTTTATGGCAAAGAATGGCCTTCGAGTTTTCGCTGGGACCGCCGAGGCTCTGCTCAAAGGCTGGGCTCCTCTTTTCAGGGGGTCAGGCGGGTGGTTCGAGGGCGCCTGGGCTCAGCCAGGCCTCCTCTGCCTACCTGTCTGCCCCGCCGGGCATCGCCACCCCGGAGCTCCCGATCCCAGGAGAGAGACTGTGGGTCCTCAGTGGGCAGCCCCCACAGCAATAAGGGGAGGGACAGGGGGTGCAGAGAGAGGCCCCAGGCCTGGGCGCTCAGGGTTAGGGCATCTGCAGAGTTGGGCAGCCAGGGTTAGGCCTGAGAGGGTCCCTGCACGTCCTGCCTCCGCCGACCCTCACACTCACCCTCGGCCCAGGTCTGAGACCGCTGCTTACGGGTTGTGTGCCCTTAGTGAGTCGCCGCTCTGTGCCTCGGTCTCCTCGACTCTGAGATTTGGGGATCACACCTCCCCTCGGGGCACGCGAGGACTAAATGAGAGTTGGGAGAAAACACCTGGGTCCACCCTTCGAGGGAGCAAAGGTGATTTCCTCTCCTTTCTTCCCCTCGTTTCTCAAAGCAGAGCAGTGGTTCTGGGAAAGTTTGGGAGGAAGTGTTGAAATTAGGGAGGTGTGTGGATTTGGGGCCAGGCCCCTAGGAGGCCAGCACGCTGGCATCTTCGGCTTGAATTTCCCAGGCGGGGCTCTGTGGGTCCTTGGTGAGTCAGGGTCCATCTGCCACCACGGCAGGTGGTTAGTCCGGTCTCCGAAGCATGCCAAGCCTTCTGGGCGCGGGGACCCTGGGGACAGCCCAACCCCGCCCAGGGCAGGAGGTTTGGTGGGAACTCCAGTGCCCGGCGCACCGCTGGCCCCGAGGAGTCGGGCTCAGTCCTCAGTTGGGTGACCCATCCCCCTAGCAGAGAGGGCGTGCCTCTATTTGAACCCGAGCAGCTCCTTGCCCTTCTCCAGGCCTGTTTTTCTTTGGGGATGTGGGGCCTTTGGAGTAGTGGACAGTTACCCGAGTGGTCTCCAACCCACCTCGATACCCACGCAAGACACAGTCCCGTTTCTCCAGATCGCACTGTGGTTAATGACCCCCTCCTCCCGGGGGCAGGCCGAGACTTAACCCCAGCGGTGTCTCCCGACCCCCCACTCCGGCTCAGATTGCCAGAGGCTGCGGGGTCCCAGACAGGAAGGAAGCTTGGTGGACAGGCTAATTGGGGACCCAGCTTGGCTGCTGAGGTTGAAACCGGGAAGGGCTCAGGGCTTTGGGCTTTGGCAAATGCATCCCTGAAGTGAGGAAGGCTGGACCCTGGGCGAGGACTAGGAGCTGGGCCTGGGGAGGCCCAGCCAGAGAGCAAAGGGCCGCACCTGGGGAGGCTGGGGCACTCTGTGGGCTCGGCTCAGAACGGAGGAGCGGGGCAGATCGGCCCCCGTGTGGAGCAGACGCTGGGTTTGGAGCACTTGGCACCGGGGCTCTGAGGCCTCTGAGACTCGTGCCTGACCCCTGGAGCCACTCCCCAACCGCCTGCCTGGGTGTCACCAAAACGACAGTGTGGGATGAGAACACTGGTCCTGAGTAGCTGCCAGGTGCCGATGCCCCGCTGCACCAGTTCAGGGGCAGGTTCTCCCGCAGCCAACATTTCCAGGGCCCCAGGAGCCTCCCCTCAGACCTCAGGAAGGTGTGATGCGCGGGTGGCCACTTCGCATTTATTTGTGCCGCAGAAAGAATCGAAGATGCGTCTCAACCTCCCCTGCCCATCACACCAACTTATTGTCAAAGTGATGCCTCCAAGTCCAGGCCTGGCCTTTGAATGTTCTGCGTCCAGTGGAGAGAGGCTGGAAAGCAAAGGGGACTTGAAGGGAAGCACCGTCCCCTGTCAAGCCCCCAGAAAAGACTATTTGTTCGGGTCCCTCTTCTGGGAAGAAGCTGGGAATGGTAAAGGGAGCTTGATTTGACACACTCCTGAGAGCAGCCCCCCCCCCCACACCCCTGCAGTGAAAGCATCTTAGTCACCAGCTCGGTTTGCACAGAGCCATTGGTTCTGTTTCCATAGCTTCTCATTTTGCTGTTGTGTTGGTAGATAGAAAATCTCAAGTTCAAGATTCTCCTTGAGCATCTTCAAGGCACTCCAGGTGCTGGCCGACCCCCTAGCTACACCACCTCTCCCAAGTTCATCTTGCACTTGTCTGAAAACCTCTACCTTTTTTTGCTAGAGTAACCCAAGCGGCTGGGGGAAATATTCCCAAGTGTTTTGCTACTTTCAATGCACTCCCCCCTCCCCCTGAATCTGGCCACAATCCTGGGTTGATTCACATTAAAATAGTGATAAAAACCACCCCCAACCCCCCATTTAGGTGGTATCTTGGTATTTTTGAGCTAAGCCCAACTAAGAACAGAGAGAATGCCTTTTAAAATAAGTGAGTTTGGACAAAAATTTACTGCAATAAAACAAATGTTTAATTTAATTTGGAATAAGAGATAAGAAATAACTCTTCAATAAAATATATAAAATTATACAAGACACCCTTTCAAAGGGATAAAGTTTGCTTGGTTGGGGAGGTGGAGGGAGGGGAAGGTGAGGTGCCAAGGAGCTAGCTAAACGGCGGTGAGACCCCACCATTTCCAGCAAATGGAAACATGGCTTTACCCTCTGCCCCCCATGTGGTAAAAAGTATATAAATTCCTCTAACACGTTTAGCACATACAATAGGTACAGAGAAAGCATGATACTTTTTTTCTTCCTGGATCTATTCATTGTTCAAGAATATTTAGCACATAAGCAATGGTTACATTTTTTTAAGCGGAGAATTAACTACACCCCCTCCCCCAAAATCATGTCTGCAAAGTGTGAGGACTGATGTACCTAGTATTTCACAGAAACCATCAGTCCCTCCCGACACACTTTTAACTTTTCACTCTCCAGTCATCGGAAATGAAGTTCAACAACAGCCTTGAGAGGAGTTAGGAAATGCCTCCACTTGCCACCTAACCCCAGGCTTGCCCTGTCTTCTTGTCCCCCTTTTATTGATCTCACAAAAAAAAAAAAAAGTAAATTTTTAACAATGTAGCAATGTGGGGAGGAGGGAAATGGGGCCAAGCGTGGCATCTAATCAGTTTTTTAATGCACGGAAGACTGCAAACACGTGACCTGTCACTTGGCGGAATCCCTCCAGGTTCTCCTGAAGCAGCAGCCAATCATCCCATCAAAATCACCAAATTTCAGCAACTTTAGAAAACCATTTGTCTCTCTCCCCGTATTAGGAAAAAAGAGAAACCAAGTGGACTTAAGCAGTCTCTTTTAGGTGATATATGTATAAAAGAAAGTGTACATATATATATATATACACACAGGTATATAAATTCTGTCTTTCCAAATAATTTGAGTTTTTACGTCGGCTGTATAAAAATGTATTATACTTTATTATATATATATTTATATATAAAAACCGTCAGAGCCAATCTTTGTGAAAGGAGGAGGGGACGTCTGGAAAATGACACCCAGGAAGCAGGACGTGGCGTGTCCAGCCTGAAGAGCGCAGTCTGACAGCGTCTGCGGCCCCATCCGCTCAGGGCGCCGCGTGCAAGGTCTGCGGAACCGGGGTGCTGGCTCCGAGCTGTTTCCTGGAGAGGGAGGGGGCCTAACGCGACGAGCATCCCTCGTGGAGTCCATCGAGCAGCTTTCCTTAGGACAGGTGGTACATGCCGTATCCCACCGGAGTCGCGTAGAGTCCCACAGGCGGGATGGGGAGCACGGGTCTGTGGAAAGGGTAGGACGCGCCGTACAAGGACGCCGCCTGCAGGGGCGCGTTGATGGGGAACGGAAGGCTGAAGCCCGAGGGCAGCAGAGGTTTCGCAGCCATTTTCAGCTTTTCCAGTTCTGCTTCCTGCAGTCTTTTCGCCTTGGCCCTCCTGTTCTGGAACCAGATTTTAACCTGGGTCTCTGTGAGGCTCAGAGAGCTGGAGAACTCGGCTCGCTCCGCGATGGAGAGGTACTGCTTCTGCCGGAACTTGCGCTCCAGAGCCAGGAGCTGGGAGGTGGTGAAGGGAGTGCGCGGCTTCCGGTTGGTCTTGTGCTTCCGCAGCGTGCAGGTTGTGGGGCTCATGTGTCCTGGGGGACAGAGAGGCAGGGAGTTAGCAAAGCCAGTGGTCTTCTCTCCAGGTGTGTGTGTGTGTGTGTAGCAATGCGCCAGCGCCCCTTCTCCATCTTTCAGAGAGATATCTCTGTCAAAAGCAGGTGTTTGTGGGGGGGTGATGGGGACCAGCAGTGGAAAAGGACCTATTTAAATAAATAAATTCCTCTATTTTTAAAAACTGAGGCTTTTAACAAAAAGTTTGGGAATGTAATGATGAAACAGAACTTTCTATATGAAACAATCAACCCCTCCTTCGTCAAGGGAGAGCTGAGAATTAAACCCCATCTCTTCTGAGGTTAATTTCTCTTGTCTTTAATATGGGGGAGGGGGGCGAGGTTCAGAACGATCCTCACCTCCCTTGGACGCTGACAGAATCACATGCAAGGAAGAAAATGAGCAGGGTCTCATAAAGAATCGGGTCGGCCCGCCCCGCACCGGGACAGGCGGGTCTCTATCAGCCGCTGGCAGAGCAGGGTCACACCAGGCAGACCAGGCGAGGTCTGTGATCAATTAATAGCATCTTGCAACTGGGGAGCAGCCCCACACAGCCACCCACCACAGCTGTCATCCCATCCAGCCTGCAGATGATAAAACTTGGACATCACTGTACGGATCTGGATGTGGGATCCGTGTTTTTTTGGCCGGGTGCGCCTGCAATATAAACTTTACTAAGAAGGAGAGAGGAATTAGCTTGCCCATAAACGTCGGTGGGGAATCAGGCTGCCTCCGACTCGGGAGCATGTGACCACACCTCTTAGTCATCTCTACCCCCTCCAGGGCTGAGCCAACCTGCACACGGTCAGCTTTTGCCAGGGTTTAGAAAGAGGCAACAACACGCAAAATAAAGGTAGGCCGACAGCATCCAGACGCCGTCCTTAAACTGGATTCGGTTGCAGGAAGTCACAGGACTGGCCACCCCTTGAGGTTCCAGAACATCAGCTCACTTTGGGCTTCTTTTCCTCAATGGGAGGGGGCAGGCAGTGTGTGTGTGTGTGTGTGTGTGTGTGTGTGTGTGTGTGTGTGTGTTGGGGGGGCGGCATGCTAAATCAACACCCTTAATTTGCTGTATTTGGCTTTTTATGAGCTATGCTAATTCCCGAATGTGGCCACAGTAGTTAACTCCAAAGGACTCAAGGGGAGAATGTTGCATTTCTTGTTTTGTTACTTTGGTGGCCCAAGAAAGAATTTACACTTCGTACCCGAGGGTGACATAGCACATGTCCCAACCCAGCCTCCACCTCCGAGAAGAAATGGGCCTGTCCCAGGGTGCATTACCAACCCTCACTCCGAGGGACCGAGAAGGAAGACGTAACCCACCAAAAATAGTAACAATAATAACAGCCCAGAGACCTGGGAGAGGAGTGGGGAAGGAACCACACTGAAGCGTCCCTTTTGCATATGCTAATCCCTAAGTAAACCGGGGCACCTGCTCCTTAATTTACAAATAAACTAAGCCTGGACTCGGGAAATCTGCAGCCCGCACCCTCCTGGCCTGGTCCTCGGGAGGGCCCAGCGGTCTGGGCCCGGACACCGAGCTCCCAGCGTCTGCGCCTGAGCCCACTCTGCGTTCGGGAGCAGCTCCGACTCCCGGCGCGGCCCTTCTGGCTGCTGCTTGGGGCCGCGCTGGAATTATGAAATCCAGGAGACAGGGATCGCACACGTGCATCAAAGGCGGAGAGCGAGCGAGGAGGCTTCCTCCCAGCCCACCGCACCTCCCTCTCACCCCCCACCCCCATTTTAAACCAGCCAGAGGAAGGATGCGATTATACAAAGCAAAACAGCATTTATCCCACTTCCTCTGAATAACAAAACCAGGCCCGGGCGGGTGGCTCCCTCCCGCCCCAGGCGCCCCAGCTACGGGCTTCCAGGACCCAGGGCTCCCACCTCTGCTCCCACGGCCCCCTCCAGGCCCCGAGCGCCAAGAACCCACTTTTTGTTGGAAAAGTAAATCCTTTCTCGCAGTCTCCCATTTTTCTCACGGGAAGGTCACATCCAGGGCCCAAGGCTGACTTACTAGTCCACAGGGAGGCTGGATTGCACTTTGTGGTGGGGATGTTTACAGAGTAAGTGGGGAGTTGGCGTCCCAGACGCAGGAGGCCTAAGGAAGTGGGATTTCTGACCCCGGGACTCCACTCCCCATCAGGCCAGAAACCTTGATGTGCCGCAGGGCGCTGACCCGGGCCTAGGAAGGCCTGGGCACTCACTACTTGCCAAACTTATTAAGTCTCTTAATGCTCTTGAGCCTCTATTTCACCATCAATAAAATGGGTAAGTAATACTGATGCCTCGGTGAGGTTCACAGTAAGGAATTTTAGAAGGTCCAGAGCCCTGTCATTCAATGTCCCCAGGATCTTTTTGTCAAGCCCAAACTCGCTGCGCGCTGACTCCTCTGAACTCTGCTGAAATGCCCTCATGGGTTCCCAGGCGGCCGGCCAGCAGCTGCCCCATGGATCAGATAATACAGTGAACAGTGCCATAAAGCGTGGGGCAGACTTGTGTTTAAATTCTTGGAGTCCTTCACCTCCACACCCTTGGAATCTTTTGGAGTTTCTAACAGGGTGGAGAGAGATGCCAGAGGAGAGAGCCACAGATGCCTGGGTCTGCGGCCTTGTTTTGCTCACAAAATACTGTGCATCTCCAGTCTCGAGGGCTGGCTGATGGGAACGGAAAAAGATGGGGTTCTCCCAGCTTTGGATAAAGCTCCCATCCCGACAAGACCCCTCTTTCCCACCCTTTCCAAGAGGTGCAGCCCGGGCAGAAAACTCTTTAAAAAACCAGGAGACAGACGCTGAAGGGGCTGTGGGGCAGTGACTTCTCCAAACTGCAAAAGGATCGGGGTCCAAAAGTGGATGCTTAAAGGCAGAGGAGAAACCGGCCCTCCTGGGCCTGGCTCCCTGTCCTGCCGCCTCATTGGCAGGAAGCGGGTGCAGGTGAGCAGACCTCTGCTGCATCTCTCTGGGCAGAAGGGTCGAAGGGTCGAAGGTGGCCAGGGCACCCTCCGGGGGCGGGGGGGGGGGGGGGCAGGGCTCCAGCCCCTAGCCCAGCTCAACCAAGTTCAGTCCTAAAACAAGGTCTTGGTGTCTGAAAAAGGGCACAGCCACAGGTCCCTGCCTCTGCCTGCACTTCGGGGTCCCAGCAGCTACTGGTGAACTAATGAGCATCACTTTGGAAACGCTAGGGCGCTGTGGGAAGGTGGTTAATTATTAGTATGAGCCAGGCGAAGCCCCCTGCGCTTCCAACCCCAGCCCGCTCCCAGCGAAGCTCAGGACCTCGCCAGTGAGGCGCTGGCCTCCAGGACGACATGTCCTCCCGCCTCAGCCTCGGTCCCCTTCCCTTCGTGGGATCCCGCTTTGACACCTGCGGGACCCATGGAAGATAATGATTTACTGCTAACATCGGGTTAGATTTCAGTTAGCTCGTCTTTAAGTGGAGGGCACACCTCGCGGGGTTGTGAACTTGACGCCCCCTCCATTCCCCAGACCAGAGACCCCGGTGGGCCGTGGATCAAAAATAAGCGAAGTGGCCCGAAGCGCAGGGCTGGGGACTAAAGAAGCCGGTAAACTAGCGACCCCGCAAACTCAGCCAGGGCTCGCCCCCACACAGACCAGCGAGTCCGCAACTGCGGGTGGCACTTTGCACAGCGAGAGGACCCGGATCACGCGGTGCGCGGAGGGTACCCACGGGATGTCCCGCACGCGGCCGGCGCGCTGAACTCTGGGGATAGCAAGGGGCCAGAACAGCTGCGCCTGCTCTCCGGGGCGCGCAGTGCCGAGGGGTCCCCGCGCCCCGGGCCTGGAAACCAGCCCCGGGCTCCCGCCAGTACCCCTCGTCCCCGCCCGGGCGCGCACTCACTCGGCGGCGGCGAGTATCTGCCGGGCTCCTGCATCCACGCCGCTCCGTCTTCCGAGTTTTCCGACTTGACCGAGGCGGTCTCGAAGGGCTTGACCAGCGCCCCGGGGCTGTGCGCTTCCCGGGCGCCGTGTCCCGGCAGCAGCAGCGGCCGCAGGGCGGCCCCGGCGGAGGCGCTTTCGGCTGGCCGCGGGGACGCCTCCTTGGGCGGCTTCTTGTCCGACATGAGCGCCTCCACGCTGAAGGGCAGGCTGGAGACCTTGACGCGCCGCTCCTCCGCAGCCCCCTCGGCGCTCCCGGGCCCCGGGCCCGGCCCGGCCACCATCGCCGGGCCCTCCTCATCAGACGAAAACAGGTCATTGCCTTTGGACGGAGAAGCCATGACTTCTCTGCCCCACGTAGCTCCCGGCGCGCGACTCGGCTGGCGGCCCGGCAGCGGCGACTCAAACTTTTTGGGGGGGAGACGGGAGGGGCGCTCCGGGAGCCGAGCCTTTCCTCCAAGGGGAAGTGGGAGACTCGGATCGGCCAATCGTCGCCCGCCCTAGCGCTGACGTCACGGACGCTCGCCTCCCATTGGCTCTCCCGGCAGAGGCTGGGGCCTCCCCCCCTCCCCACCCCCCGTTTGAAATAAATTAGGAGTTAATTACAGGAGCAGTCAGCAGAGTTGTTATTAGGCGATCCCTCAAGGTTTATAATCACGCCAAAACTGAAAAGTCCAAGGCGTAATTAAGGCCGATTATTTAAAGAGGAAGTTCACCGAGTCCCATTTCTTCTCTTTTTTGACCCCTCTTTAAAACAGGTACCCCGCGTCTGTACTACTCTCCGCCCCCCCCCCCGCAGCTCCCGCCAGAACGTGTTTTAAGTCAGCAACTGATATCGTAAAAACGTGTATGAAGCGCCTACTGTGCGCCAAAGCTGGGCTAACTTTGCCAATTTAGGAGTCAGCATTGAACACGTGCCTGCTTCCTTTGCTAAAGCAAATGACACTCGGAGGGCACTTAGACGACTATTTTGCTCTTAGTCCCCAAAGGTGTCCGCTATCACCCTAAGCCCCCCTGGAAGAAGAGGGGCTGCAGGGAGCCCGAGAGGTGGTCCGGAGCTGCTCCCTCCCAAAGAGCTCCAACTGGACAAATTAACCCGGTGGTCCCCAAGCCCATTCCGAAAGAACCAGTGCGCTGAGAAGCTTGGAGTCCGCCTGTTTTCCTTGCCCTGAAGCTCCTTTCTGCGCGGTATCCCATGCGACCTTTCCCTCCAGGCTGCACGAATTGGGTGTATTTGTGCGTTTGTCTGAGCCTGTGTTTGGTAGGTATGCTTTTAGGTGCCAGTGTTGGCCTTGAAGGGGGAGGAGAAGGGAGGAAAAGGCGTGATAATATCTCATGCTCACTCCCTCTTGCAAATCTCAGAAATACAGGGTTCTGCAGAGTTTGCACACCCCAGGCCTCTGGATCTTTTGAAGAAGCACATTCTTATTCATTGCACCTGGCTGGGGAAAAAAATAAGAAGAAGAAGAAGAAGAAAAGAAAAGAAAGAAACATTGATATCTCCACCCCACTCCAAATTACACCCTGGGTAATTACATCTCCAACTTTAGCGAAGAGTCGCAGCCTAGCAAAGGGGAACGGGAGCTTCCAGGGCTGGGAGTCCCTGGATCTCTGTAGGCCGCGGGGCCCAGACCCACAGATTTAAGTGACTCTTTCCAGGCTCTGCCTGCTTTTCCCTGTATCTGAATCATCATTCTGCAAGTGAGGAGGTAAACAGAAGTCTACCGGCACAGGGCCTCGCACACAGCACATGCCTGCTGGGCAGTCTCCAGAGCCTTGGAGGGAAGGGACATTGTCTGTCAGCACCCAAGCCGCCAAGGCTGGGAGGCTCCCTCTCACTTCAAGAGTCTTGGAAACTTGACCCCCAGGCCCACTTGCCAGAGCACTTCTGTGCTGCCCTGTTCCCTCCACCCAGACCTCTGCCTGGAGGGCGACTGCGCTGCATCAGGGACAACCAAACAGGCGGTATCTGACTCTCCAACGGTAAACACCGCCTGCACCGGCCAGCCCATTCGGCGTGGTGAGAAATGAACCCGAAAAGTTAAAAACAGAGAAGTCCCAACTCTGGCCTTCTGGGTCCCTCTCCCAACCACTGGAAGCAAGCACATTCTTTTACTGTGTTGAACAAAGTGGAAAATCAGAGAAAGTTCAACAACAACAACAGCTATGAAAGCTATCTGGAGATTTATGCCTTTTCCCCCTTGAGTCACACTTGATGGTAGTTGGCTTGATGTGTATCTCAAATGCAGTGCAGGTAAGTCCAGGCTGAGTCCTGCGCCTCCTGGAGGGACCCAGCGAGGGGCAGGCTCCACCCTGTGGAAGCAAACTCGGAATTCGTTTTGCCCCCAGCTGCCACAGGCTACAGAAGGGCTCAGCTGTCAGTGGGGACATACCCCAGCCACCGTTTTATAACTGTTACTACAAACTCCCTGTTAATATTTCTCAACGGAGGGACACGCAGGCTCATACCTGGGAAATTAAAATAAAACTCCATACTGCTCCAGCCCTTTTCTTCTGACGAACTTTTCAGGGAAAGGAGAAGCCAAGTCGTCCCCATTACTCTAGGACCCTGACAGAGAAGAAAATGTCTGAAGCCAGAAATAGGAAAAAATGGTAGAGATGAAAAAGAACAACAACAAAAAAACCCACCGGGTGTTCAAAGCCAGGGTGCCAAACTTTGGCTGTAGGCAGGAGAGACGCCCAGGGGGCAAGTGGCCTAGGCAGCTCCTGCCAGCTCCCTCCCCAGCTCCTTGCCCCCTGCCCAGGTGGAGACAATTCCAGAAGGGGCTCAGTTCTGTTGGGGAAAAGGTGGAACCTCAACACAACTCGAACCCTTTCTGGAGATCCCCACTGGTGCATTTGCTGCTGCTGCTGCGCGGGCTGCATTTTCAGAACATTGCATTCACCGCTTTCTGGCCCCGGGACCCAGGCCACCTTACCCTGCCTCCCTCAAGCTGCTTTTTAATCTCTAAAGTGAGCGAGAATGACCCCTTCCTGCGACGGCTCTTATGGTCATTCAATTCAATAGGCTACGTAAAGTGACTAGAAGATGTAGGGAGATCAATAAAAAAACATTGTATATGAAGAGCAGTCACAGTTTATGGACTTCTTTCTCTCTGCCAGATCTCCAAAATGAGGCGCATCTCCTGGCTTCGCGGAGTTCACGGTGGGTTCTTCGTAAAAAGCCTCCGAGGCTGAGAGTGTGGCTGGACCTGAAAAGTGTCCAGTCCCTCAGCGGAGTAGGTGTAGCCCCTGAGCGGGGGACTGGCTTTGGCCTGTAGGTGGCATTCAGTAAAGGCACGCAGGCAGGAGAGTGGGGTTCCAGGGGGGACCCAGTTACCAATGAACGTCCACTCGGCACAAAGCTTTAGTGCCCGGACCTGAACTCCAGGACCCAATGCACCGCTCTGGTTGGAGATGATTTTCTCCATTTCACAGATGAGAGCCTAAGGCTAAGAGGCCCTTAGTACGCTGCCCCAGGTCACGCAGGTAAGACGTAGGGGACCGGAGGATCTCCCGGCACCTCGCAGGCCCCTGCGCGCAGAGCCGCAGTTCTCCACGTTCTCGCGCTCTCCCCGGGCAGTTCGCACCCGCTGGGGCCCAGCGTGGAGCAGCGGCGCACACGCACCGAAGGTCCCCAGCGAAAACCTTCCTTGCAGACCTTGGGGGACGGCCCGCAGACCTCAGCGTTTGCAATCCCCGGGACCCATCCCTGGATCCAAGCGGCGAGGAGGAGGCGGGGGAGGGGCGGAGGAGGGGGCTGTAGACGGGCCAGGGCTGCGGGCAGGCGCCAGGCGCGGGGAGATGAAAGGCGGGCTCCAGGGGAAGGGGCTGCGCCGGGTGACCGGCTCCAGCCGCGCCGGGCGCCCCGCCTCCGCCCCGCCCCGCCCGGGCTGCCCCGGGCAGAGGCGGCTGCCCGCGCCGGAGCCGCGTTAATTGCTCTCGGCCCGGGCACTCAGCCTGCGCGGAGCCGGGACAACCTCGCTCCAGGAGGAATGACAATTCGCCCTAATGGGACAACCTCACTCCCAGAGGAGTGACAATTCCTCCTAATGGGCCGCTCGTTAGCGGCCTATCCTCTCGAACCCGTGTATCAGAAGCGGGCAGACAAGCGGGCGCCAAGGTCCGCCTGGAATTCCACAACACCGCTCCTCCCACCCCCAGACCCATCCATCCGCTGTGTGACCTCGGGCAAAAGGCTGCCCCTCTCTGAGCTCGTTTTTCTTACCTGGGCCGTGAGGGCCAGACGGGGGAAGGTCAGGCCTCGGCGGGCGCGGGCCTATTCCCAGGCATTTGGGAGATCACGTTTTGAGTTACAGAGCGGGAAGGGGGAGATAACGGGCATTCAGGGTCACTGCTTGAGATTCTTTGAGGGGCGAATCCCTTGCTCGTAAAGTTCTAGACAATCAAAGCGGTTTTCTGCGGGCCCCTCCCGCCCACGGAGGTCAGGACCCGTGGGAGCCGGGCTGGAGACAAGGGGCCTTGCGCGGATGGCACAGGCGGCCCAAGCGTGAGCTCTCGCCGGCTCCCACTTTACAGATGGACTCAACAAGGCGCAGACGCGGGAGAGGCCGGTCTGAGGGCGGCTGTGCTTGGAACCGAACGGGACACGGTCCTCTGGAAGAAGCCCACGAGGAGGACACCCTGGGGGAGTGGGGCCGGGGCGAAATGGCGGCGGACACGGCGCCTCTCCGCCAGTCTGCAGCCCGGGGAGCGAGGGCCGGGTCTGCGAGACTTCCACTTGTTCCCGGTCACAGCAGGTGTGAGGCCCGCGGAGGAGCAAGAGGCCTGAGTGGCGATCCAGCCCTCCTTGGCACGACTCGCCACCGTCCGTGGCGCCGGAGGTGGTGGTGACAGTATCTAACTGTTCTCAGAAAAGGGCAGGCTAATGCCCGGCCTGCGGTGCGACTGGTCAGAAGCTTCGGTCAAACACCAGCAGCTGCAGCCCCGCACTGCGGCTGCAGCGGGCGCCCACCCCACCCACAGCTCTGCCTCCCGGAGTCCTTCTTGGAACAGGGTGGGGGACTTGTTTCTTGTGGGGCTCTGGACTAATCAACCCACCTGTCTGCACCCCCCCCCCGTTTCCTCATCTGGAATAAGAGTGTCTAGCATTCCGTGAATGTCGCGGAGTGTTATCATTTCTTAAGTCATCACCGATAGTATTTTCACCTCCCTTTTCCACACATCTGCCCGGAATCTCGCATATCTGGCGCCCTGTGACCCAGCGTTGGGCCGTGTGTGGCAGGAGGCTGCAACTTCTTGGAGCCTGGTTTTTGAGCTCTGTGAAGTGGCAGTATCTCCCCATTCCTTGAGAAGGAAGCAGGCTGGCGGCTGGGGCCAGCGAGGGGTGGGGATTACGGGAAGAATAAAGACACACAGCGCGAAGTGCCTGCTCTTTCCCAGCCCCTG